CCCCCCTCCCCCTCTCCCCGACTCATAGGCACATTACGATCATTTATCACAGTCATCATTTTGTGTGATTTTGTGTGTAACTATGAACAATTTTTTGCCTGTTGCATTAATTATGCCAGCATAATGCCTGCACGGGATCGCGTCATTAAGTCAACTTCACGCGCCGCTGCGCCGCTGCGCTCCCTCCTCACACTCGAGAAGGGTGTGGTAGGGTGCCGTAACGGTCACGTGGTGTTGTCCGAGGGCTCACGTGGGCGTGGGGAAGGTGACCCGAGCGCGCCCCTCCGAGGGGCACGGGAAGGGGGGGGGGGGGTGGTCTGGGTCGGAGGAGCTTGACTTGACTTGACTAACCACGAGGCCTCTTTTGGCCCAAGGTTCATGATCCGACCGGAGCCGTTCATATTACTAGGCCCTTCCACCGGGGCACGATGCCGAGCATACATGCTGATCCCGGTTTCCGGTTGCAAACCCAGCATCCTCAAAGATGGCAGCTAAGTGGGTTCCCGAACCCTTGGCAGCCCCGAACAATCACGGAGGGGGTTGGCCCCCGTGTTCATTCCTCAGGGGGGCTCAGGGTGCGGGGGCCCTGCGGCACTACAAACCTTACTGACAAGGTCACAAGGTGACTGACAAACCCGCGAGCTTGAGTAGTAGGGGTGACCCACATTTGCACCCCATTGAGTCATTTGCATCGAATTCTCACTCTGAAGGAGTAAGATTTCCCTGACCTCGGCCAATTGAAGTGGGGAACCTCCGCCCTCATTAGGTGAGGATCGCAAATTGCGACTCAAATTGCGAGTGAGCGCCAGATACCTCGCTCTCAGGGGAGCGACATTGTTTGTGTCACTCACCTCGCTCTCCTGAGAGCAAGATATCTGATGACTCTTTTTCAGTGATGGCCCCTTGCGAGTAAAGGCAACGTGTCCACACGCCTGCTGGCTGTACAGTACAACTATCCGGTTGTGGACCGCCTTGTACTGTTCCACACGCAGGCGAGGAGGGCTTTTGCCCGTCGTCACCAACCGTAGGCCGTAGGACACCGAGCGAGTGCCATGGAAAAGGACCTTTCAGGCCCAAGAAAGGTGACATGTTACATGTTTGAGCAAATCTCTTGCTTGTGACATTTTATGGCAATTTGTAACATCTCCGATGCAGGATCGTACAATATGTCTCAAGGAAGCGATGCGCACAAAAACGTCAACTTTTTGTGGGGGTAAACGATCTGACCCCCCTCCCATTTAGAGTTTAGGCATCAGTAGGGTAAGCCCGCCCACAAACGAGTCCTCAAGTATGCATGGGTACAGTACTTATACCTCGTATACGGGGAGGACGACAGACCCATTTCGTTTTTCTGAGCATACTGTATCGCAAGCACAGCACACGTATGGGCGGGTTGCCTACTCGGTGTGAGCCAAAGGGGGCATGGTTAGTGACGGTAGGCAAACTCGCCAGTCCGCCCGTGTATGTATGCATGACCAGGTGCAAGTACAATTACATAGAAATAAAGTATGGGGTCACCTTGTTAGCAAAGGACTTCTTAAGAAACCATCAATTAAAGAAACACCAGAACCACTATTCGTCAGTGGCACTCCCCCCCCCCTCCCCCCACCTTTCTCCGCCTTCTAAACGTACGTCTTTTCTCCTGGTCGGGTATACAGCGCTGACTGAATCGATAAGAGCGATAAAGAGACTGGCGTAGTCGCGCCTCTAGCGCACGCTCCCCCTCTCCCTCTTTTCCGAGCATGTGAAGGGGCCCTTCTCCTATTAGTCAATGGGAAAAGAAGAGGTAGAGTGAGGAGATGAGGGGCTAGGCGTGCATCCAGAGGGAGGAGGGGAGGTCACGACCCAACCCCCACCCCATGCTCCCTCAATGAGACGCCTGATGTCGCGTGATGTAGGCAGTGCGTAGTGCGAACCACCTTATAAGTAGGCAAAAAGTGACTATAGGTAAATCCTGGAAACGCCACTGAAAGAGGACAAGGACAGCGGACCTTTTCGGTAGGAAACAATAAGGAGAGTGGAGAAAGGGGGAAAGGGGGGGGGGGGCGAGACCAGCACACACGCGAGGGGCCCATGCCTTGCAAGCATCGCCCTCAGCCCGAGAAAGTTTCGCGCCTCTTACACCCATTCAGGAGCACAAAGCTTTGGCATGGTGTGTGTCAATCATTCCGGTCGTAGGTAGAGTGCAGTTCAGATTGGCCCGCGAACCCCGGAACTTTTTGAAGTTATACTGTACGGCTCATAGTCGTGTGGGTGGGGTTGGGGTCGCCTATTTGTGGGGCCATGTGGCGCCTGAGACATCGGGCAAACTCGCACGCAGGCCAGCATGCGATACATATTCGATAACGTGTGGCGGTGATAGGGATGGGTTGGGTTGGGGGTGGGGATATACGCAGACACGAGTTTCTTACAGTCTTGTGTAGTATAGAAAAAACAATGTAAGGTGCGAAATTCATACGACGCATCCGCGCAACAACATTTTTCACTGAGAGCCCCCCCCCCCCCCCAAAAAAAAATCCCTTTGGCAAGAGGAGGACGGTAGGTTCATGGGTCCTCTACGGTGGATCCCCACGACCTATGAGCCCCCCCCCCCCTCCGGCCAAAGCGCGGGAGCGGGGCTCCTCTTATGACCACGGAAAATATTCAGTATCGTCAATTTTTTTATCGTCAAAGAATTCCAGGTCTATACGTACGTAGTGTCACATGGATTTTGTAATTCTACAATTTGAAATCGTAAACAACCTACGACATGGATAATTTCCCCATAAATCTTACCAATATTTTCACGGTGCTAAACCCTCTGCGCGATAAGTGAAGCATCTTTTGTGATGACCGGCGCATCTCTATCCACTCAGACAGGGAACAAATGTTTACCGATAACATGCACACCTTGCAAAAGCGCTGTCTCTTCTGTAAGTCCCGTTCCCTTATTATATTGTACCGGCGAATGGGCAGTGTTGCCTACTTGGGGGGGGGGGGGGGGGGCGACAATGGCCTTGTCGGCCTTGCCCTACGCAACGGGCGGCCGATATGAGGGCGTCCTGTATGTAACCGCGTTGAGGCCAATGACCGAGAGGTGGCCTGCGAGATCCAATGTCCAGAAGGGCCCGGCTGGGGGCCAGGGGGCGGGGAAGTCTAGCCGGGCCTGCGCAGCATCATCCAATTGTGCAAATCTGAAGGTCCTAATATACCCCGCTCTGTGTTACAGCCATGAAGGCCTTCCTGTTGGCCGTCGTCCTACTGGGCTGCGCTTGCGCCATGCCCGTCGGCCAGGACGACAAGGAGGTGTCTGCCGCCGCCCCTGTCCCCATTGTTCCTGCCGCCGTCGTTCCGGAGGAGGCGAAGCCCGTCATCCCCGCTGAGCCTGTGCCGATGGTCAAAGCCGACGCCATCCCCAAGGAGGCAGAACCTGCCCCCGCCGTTCCCGAGGCTGCCGTCAAGGCGGTCGAGGCTCCCGCTGCCGCCCCTGCCATCTCGCCCGCGGCCGGAATCGTACCGGAAGCGGCCATCAAGCCATCTGAGGAAGCCAAGATAGAACCAGCGGCCGACATCAAGCCGGCCGAGGAGAAGCCAGCGCTCAAGTCCGTCGTCCCTGTTGAGGCGCCTAAAGAGGAAGTCAAAGAGGCCGCGAAGGAGGCGCCGAAGGAGACCAAGGAGGCACTAAAGGAGGCACCCAAGGAGGAGATGAAGGAACCGATCAAGGAACCCGCAAAGGAAGAAATCAAGGAGCCGATCAAGGAAGCCGCCAAGGAAGCCCCCAAGGACGAGATCAAGGAGATCATCAAAGAGGCGCCCAAGGAAGAAATCAAGGCGGAATTGAAGGAAGCCCCGCAAGAAATCAAAGAGCCTATTAAGGACACTGTGAAGGAGGAGATCAAGGAGCCAATCAAGGAAGCTGTAAAGGAAGCTCCTAAGGAGGAGATCAAGGAGCCCGTGAAGGAGATCCCCAAAGAAGAAATCAAGGAGGCCATCAAAGAAGCACCAAAGGAGGAGATCAAGCCAGCCCTCAAGGAAGCTCCGAAGGAAGAAGTCAAGGAACAGGAGAAGCCTGTCGAGAAGGAAATAGTGCCCATCAAACAAGAGGCGAAGGAAATTCCAGCAGAGCCAATCAAGGAAAGCGTGCCAGAGAAGAAGCCTGAGGACATCAAGGAGGACATTCCTGCCGCCAAAACCATTCCGGAGGAGCCTAAAAAAGAGGAAGAAAAGAAAGAAAAGTTGGACCTTAGCAAGCCCGCCGATGCTAAGTTTGAGCCCCTTCAGCCCAACAAGGATCAAGCACTCGTAACTGAAGACATGAAAGTCGAGCCCTCGAACACCATCGAGGAGAAGAGCGGCGAGAAAAAACTGTCCGGCGAAGCTGTTAAATTGGAAATGGGTGGTGAACTTCCCGAGCCTGCCAAACAGGTCGCCGTCGATACGAAGAGTGATGTGCCCACCGCGAAGATCGCCGAGCAGCCCAAGACTGAGGAGCCAAAGAAGGAGGATATTAAAATAGAGGAGCCCAAGAAGGAAATCAAGATGGAAGAGCCCAAGAAAGACGAGGCAAAGATCGAGGAGATCAAGAAGAGTGAGATTAAGATCGAGGAACCCAAGAAGGAGATCAAACCCGAGGAAGCCAAGCCACAGATCGAAGCCGACACTGCCCTCAGGAAACAGCGAGAGGCTGAGAAGGAGAAGAAAGGCGAGGAAAAGAAGAAGCCCACTGAAGTTCCCAAGAAAGACGACCTGAAGAAAGATGAGATCAAGAAGGGCAAGAGCGACGAGGCGACACCAGCAGCGCCCGAGCTTATTAAGACAGCCGAGATCAAAGAGATGCCAAAAGAGGAGATCAAGCAGGAGGAGATCAAGAAAGATGTCAAGGATGAGCTTAAGAAAGAGGAGGCACCGATCGCGAAAACGTTAGAGGAGGTAAAGAAGGCCGAAGTTCCTGCTGCCGCTGTACCGGAAGTCAAGTCTGAGCCAATCAAAGAAGAGAAAGTGGAGATCAAGGAAGAGCCAAAAAAGATCGAGATTCCCGCTATCCCTGCCGAGCCTATCAAGGAGGAGAAGAAGGACGAAATTAAAAAGGAGGATATCAAACCCTTAGAGAAGAAAGATGATCTTAAGAAGGATGAACAGAGCCTCAAGTCCGGAGTTGCGGGAGTAGTGCCAGTAGAACAAGTCGAAGTTCCCTCAAAGCCCGTCCAGTGAGCAGTGTGCCCAAAGGCCAAATCATTGTCAATATTCTTCCCTGCGCGCCGTTCCAAGACTTGACAACCCCCCTTTGCTACGTTCTCAAGTCATGGAAGAGCCAAACGGTTGTGCCCCTTCCCGCGCTATCAGATAAATGTTAAACTATTTATTAAAATCTTCTAGCCGGGAAGGGACAGGCCAGTCCACAGTACAAGTTAGAGTTGCGGTGAGGTCCCCTGTTTCATACAGTGTAACAGTGTAACGTACAGAAAGAGGACATTTAGCGCACAGTCTTAGTGCCAACTGCACGTAGATCGATCCTGTATCGGTATACTATCGGTAGAGCAAATTTAGCTGAGTGCAGCAGCAGGTCGTTCGCGTACCGACCCTTTTTTCTGTTTCTAAGTCTTGTAGGTTTAGACTCAGTATACAGCTTTATTGTGCAATTGCTCTGCATAGAATTATCTAATTGGTGATACAAAACTGGCCCATGATCATCACGCTTGCCATCTTGATTAAATATGAAACACGCGGCGTGTATGTAAGTGTGCCCTGCAGTGTTATCAAAGCCAAAAGCTCGCAAACTTTTATTGCGCATTTCATAATTAGGTTAAATGCAGTACGCGTTGAAATAATTGTCTCGACAAATAAAATATCAAAATGGCTTTCTGGTTTTGGTAACACTGGTCCGTAGTCAAGACTGATCTGAAGTATCTGATGCTCATGGTTATAAAGTAAGACGGTTTTGAACAGTAATTGCCTTATGTACATAGGTAACTTTAAGCTGTTCTTTTTTGTATTTTTCTAAAATAGTATAATTAATGTGTGAGTGCGTCATTATGGTCTTAGCATTCATTGCTATAAAGTATTACTCAGAATAGGCCATTAGTTCCAAGTCTCTATAGATGATTGCATAGGCGAGTTGTATGTGAATATTTAGTACCCAAGCATAAAGTGATCCGCAATCCATACCCATCCTGCTGTCCATCCAAACAAAAGGTATTTTGTTACATGTCTGTATTTATAAGTGATCAGAAATAAAACATCTGTAAGGACAACCAAATGATCTGTCTTAATCGTGTTATTGCCATATAGCAGATGCCAACTATACATGGGGGAG